AAACTTGCATGTGTTTAAGAAAGAACCCAGAAGGCACCAGAGCACATGACTTCTCTCATTGAACCGTCGTTATTGCACTGGAGAGGTTTTATCAAGGCATTGAATCTCAAAAGGCAACTGCCTGTTAAACTTCGTTCCTGTAAGTTACTGTCATGGGTGAATGCCACTTTCTGAGAAACAACAAAGTTTACTATTTTCAAGAAGACATTGTTGAAAAAACTCAAAACGATATCTTCCAAGCTCAGCGTCCTTGCTTATGCAGCGCATACACAAGATGAAGTTTGAAGTCCCTCGCTCTATCGACTGAAACGTGTGATCACGTAGTAGCCCGAGTTCTTCTCTTAGTGACTACGTAGCCCTAACACTAGTTGGTTGTTCGTGGTCATGCTTCGATCAATGGAAAACAACTATTCTCTCCTCGTGTCCAAATTCCTCACACTTATCGCCCCCCTCTTGCGCGAGTCTTAGGTCGTTGTAGATCGACCACTCGTTCAACTGCTTTTGCAGCTCTCCCCAGAATAGTGCTTGTTGCTTAGATTCCTCCCCCTTCACATAAGCTTTCCCTTTTTCCCGCTACCTTGCACACCTCTCCGCTTTAGACATCCCGTTGGGTCGTTGTAGGCGCGAAGGCTAGACCAAGCGCGATTACTCCTCGCGGACACTCACCTCATCAGCCGCAACCCACGAAATTAGTCGCGATCAGCAGGTCATTCTCAGCAATAGTTTTCACCGCCTCGTTCCTCTCGCTATTTTTCTCTCGCCGCACTGCCCACTTCGCTACACTTCACGACGTTGACCATTCCCTCCAATTTTCTTGTTTAATTGCTCTTACTCAATACACGTGCTTAAACCCCCCCTCGCACTTGCTCTCGTTTTGCTGACGGATAGTTGGCCCACTCTCATTCCTCTTCTGGTTTGCCCTCCGTTTACCCTCGCACTTACGTGTGCGCCTAACTTATTTCACTCTATTGTCATGCTTCCTGCTTTTGTGGCATGCCTCTCTCCCTCTCGCTCTTCTCCACTCTCTTTCTCCGCCATCTTTGACCCTCAACTATGTCGTGTCCCGGTCGTGCCCTACTGACAAGCTCTCATGGTTACAATCAGCTCTGCCTCGGAGAACCCACTTCCTCGTCGACAACTGCTAGCGACAGTTCCTTGATCGAAAAGGATGACAACCTCATCTCGCGTTGATCGCGTTCAAAGTTGTTTACTACGTGCACTCTTCTTCTCCCCTCTTTTCTCCCCAGTCCCTAACCGCACAGTACTTCCTTATGTAAGTTGTCTCTTCAATCCACCTGTGTTCTTGCCTAGCGCTAATTTGCACGAGTTAGCTTATGATTCGGTCGGTTCGGTCGCGCAGGAATTCTCACATTTGTATATCCTCCAGCACTCATGCCTCCTCCGTTGACATACCTTAGCACCTTGTAAACTGTGAACTCTTTCTCTGCCCCGTTAGCCACTTCACGCGATGTCGCCCTATCACTAGCGTCTTTCCATCTCCTTTAGCTCGACTGCCCTGCACTTCACCCATCGTGCGAATTAGCTCGCTTTAGAGTTCACGCAAGCTCGCTCACACAGGTAGTTTAGCTCGACTGCCCTGCACTTCGCCCATCGTGAGGATTAGCTCGCTTTGGAGTTCATGCAAGCTCGCTCACACAGGTAGTTGCTGTGCTTGTCGATCTCGCGTTGCCGATCTCTCGCATACAGACTCGGCGGGGGAGCTTTCTCGAACATTCTCCCCACCAGCTCTGGCAGTTACGTTCGCGAGTGGCGTCCACCAGGCTCGCAGCGTCGCCCTTTTTCCCTCAGGTCCTCTTGTTCGTCCTCCTTCCGAATGCCTACTTTTCGCTCAGCCACTGTGTATATCCTACCTTGATCGAGCCAGATCCTGATCGCGCGGGACTCGGCCAGAAACAGCTCGGCCTTCCCGCCCCCCCACAGCTTCAGATGCCTGTACCGTCCTTTCATGTAAGTTCATGGTGTCGGCGACGACCGGGGAAAAATCACTTGGTATTAGGATCAAACAGGCTCCTAGGTGGATGAGGGCCTGTGTCCAGAATTTCGGGCCTAAGCCGGTCTGAACTCGTGTTATTTCTCGTCTGCAGCAGTTCCCATTTCCGCCCCACCTCGCTGGCTTAAGAGAAGTCGTCAGTACCTAGATAAAGGAATGTACCCGGTCCAGCCCCGGGTTTAATGTGCCCAATGCGACTTTGCTCAATCTTCACAATGAGGATGTGGCTCGATTTCGATAGCCATACCCCAAATTGTCGGTGTGGCCATGCTTCTTACACTTGGCTGCCCTTACGATGGGCCCTGGCAGGGAAACTTGGTAAAGCGACCCCGTAGTCTCGGTTTCATGTTGACTGTCGGCTTGAGGGCACTGTTCCTCGATGTCGTTTGTTGTTTGTTGCCTTTGATGTGTGGTAGTCTTACTGGTTGCCTCAAGTGACAACCCAAGTCTCGAGCTAGCACCCTCGGACGTCCGTCATCATATTTGCTTATGCACAGTATAACTCAGGAGTGGTCACACACGGAGGCAGGGTCCACGTAGACGGATAATAGAACAACAAGAATCTGAGTGGTTTGGCATGGAAACATAATCTTGACACAAAAAATAGGGAATTAGTAAAATATGGAAATCTTGTGTTCTTTTTCATCGTTCTTTTCAGTAGTTGCTATCTCCAGCCTATCCGCAAAAATAGACAAAATATCACCCTTGACTTGCCACCTCGAATCCCTATGTCTACACAGTCCTACGACAGACAAACAACAACTCATGAACACAGGTCACGGGTGCAAGCACTCGACGGTCAACTCGATACTATACATGGGTGAGGTAAGGTCTGGGGATCAAACCCCGGGATCTGCATCTGCCTCTGCAAAGGTGAAAACCGTTTCATAAGGGCCCTACAGGCCTTGTGTCGTTTCAGCCTGAAAACCTGAAAACAAGGGCCTACAGGCCCTGTGTCGTTTCAGCCTGAAAGCCTGAAAACGAGGGCCTACATGTTACAGACTCCGCCAGGGCTCGATCCCTGGTCTATCTTTTTGTTGTTTCTGCTGCATCCCGTTTTTGGCCTGGCACCCTTTTTTCCAAACCCCTCCTTTGGTACCGTCGGATTCTGGACAACTGGCGCCATGGTGCAATTCGGGCACCACTTTCAAATACCGCATTTTTCAGTTCTGGCCTCGGGGCTTTTGCGGAAATGCCCCTGGTACCGTACGTGTCACCGGTACTTATACCGGTGACACGTACAGTACGGGAACCAGTCTCGTACCAGTTTTTTGCTGCTGTACTCGTACTCAGTGTGACTTGCTGTTTCGGCATTCGGAATCCAAGACTTCGACATTGTGCCCTTGCCACTGTGTCTGCGTCCGACCCTCAGTTGTGTCGAGTGAGCGAGTGTATGTGTGTGCTCTCACTCTCTCCCTCTCTCTCTCCTCTCCCTCGGCTCTCCTTCAGCCCCGCGCTCGTCACACTACAGGCCCTGTGTCGTTTCAGCCTAAAAAGGGCCCTCCAGGCCCTGTAGTCTTTTCAGCCTGAAACAGAGGGCCATTTTCAGGCCCTCATAAGATCGACCTTCCCTGAAACTTAGGCACCAGACCAGGGTTTTAGCACAGGCCATTTTGGGCCTGTTTTCAAGACCACCTTTGTTTGAACTTCAACGCCAGGGTCTGGCGCGTTTTGGCATTGGCAAGAGCAGCCTCCTGGACGGGCCAGCACTATGTAAGACTGGCCCGCCCTGCAGGCTGCAGGTAGTTCATAGGGACTTCCCAGGCACTTCATGTGCAGGAGGCGGGAGGCAGTCTTCAGGATTCGGCAGCAGCACTCTGGAGGAGCGCTGCAGTAGTAGCAGTAGCGTTAGCAGTAGTCTTCAGCGCTGGGCGCTATTAGGAGCTAGAGTAGCGTTGGAGAGAGAGAGATGGTTGGCGGATGCCAGGGAGACTTACCTGTGGCGCCATAGCTCCAGCTTCGTCTTCTATGTACCTGCAACAAGGCGCCACCTTCACAGGTTAGTACCCGACTGAGAGAGAGAGAGAGAGAGAGTTCTTCTTCCTCTTCTAAGTCCACAATCTCTCCCTCACCCTCTCGCTACCTAACTTCTCCGTATCTGCAGACTACGAGAGAGAGAGAGAGAGAGAGAGAGAGAGAGAGAGAGAGAGAGAGAGAGAGAGAGAGAGAGAGAGATTGGTGACTTTGGGACTTGACGACATTTGGATCCATTGAGACATTGGACGAGGGATTATTTGGGACCTGTACCGAAGACTTGGTGTTAACGACATTCCCATGTTTCCCTCTTCTTCGTCTAACCCCCCCTCTTCTTCGTCTGTGTATGGTTGGGGACTGGCGCATTCGTCCTGTGTGAGCGCCAGGCCCCTTCACACCCCTTCACACCATGAAATGATGATAATGTATATTTGGTCTGCATTGCAAGATTGATTGTTCGGATCATTGGTATATTAGCCTTCTGCTGCGCTATCTTGTGCTATGTGAGAGAGGTCGGTTTTTGTTCTGGTCTACACTTTTGCAGTATGCGGCAGTCTGAGTGTTGAGGTCGTCATCACATTCACTTACGTGCTCCGCCGGAAGCGCTGGTGCGCTGCAATGTGTGCGACTGAGGCGAGTTGCTGCAGGGGTAGTCAACGGCGCTAGGCACCCATAGCTGTAGCTAGGCTAGAGGAAGTGCTGTGAGGGGTATTCAGATGGGGTTGAATGAAGTGTGGGTACCATAGAGTGACAGTGAGGGAGAGTGAGAGAGAGAGAGAGACCACACCTGTCTGTTGTTACTGGTGGGAATAGAGCTTGGGTAAGACAATTACAAGATTTGGCTTGCAGACAATGCAGAGACTATTTTCGGATTTACTCTCATGCGTGCTTCATGTGTGCTCTACCTGTTGTGAGAATGGTGTGAAGTATGTCGTGCATGGTTGGTCTCAATCCACAGTGTTGTGCTGTTTTTTTTTTCTTTTCTTTTCTGCATTTGCAAACTTTTCCTTGCCAGGTGCATTGACGTGGATAACAAGAATTCAGGCGGCCTCAGATGCTGCTCAGGCTCTTGAATACATTCACGACCACACGCGCCCCACATATGTCCATCGAGATATAAAGTCTAACAACATCCTGTTGGACAAGAATTTGCGTGCGAAGGTACTGTTCTCACCAGTCACAAGGTACTCGTGTTTTTTTTTTATGGCAATGTCTCCTCCTCTTGCCCCTCTTCCTCTGCTTTCTCGCCTGTCTTCGTCTTTTTATAAATTCATTGGCCCACCCTACCCACTTGCATGGAGATACAAAATCTAACGATGCCCTTGAGGAGGGGAACTTGCATGGTAATGTATTGTTTTGTTTCGAGTTGCTTCTTCATGATTGTCTCCTCCTCCTCCTCCTCCTGCTCTGCCTCTGCCTCTGCCTCTGCCTCTGCCTTGTCTTTCTGCTTCTTCATATTTGCACACAGACATGTTCTTTCAGCAGCAAGGATGGTCCTGGGTTTGGTGGTGCGGGAGGAAAGGTGGGAGGTGGAAATTGCTCTATTGCGTCCAGATGAGGCATCTACCATGGCAGGCATCGTTAGCTTGGGGAGCAGTTGCCTAAAATAGGTTTGCTGACATTCTCGAGCATTTACTGACAACCTGTTCTCTGAGCTGGTATTGTGTGAAGATGAGGCAGTGGCCATGGCAGCAGTCGTTAGCTTGGGGAGCAGTAGCCTACCGTAAGATTGCTGACATTGTCGAGTGTTGAACCACCACTGCGCCTGCGATGCTGTTTCATTGAACTTGCCCTTTATTTCTGAGCCTGTCCAAACATGGACCTACTGGTAGAATCTGGGAGAACCAAATGTGTTCTATTGCCACAAGCATGTTTTTTGCTATGCGGAAATTTTTGTTCCGTTTCTTAACTATTGATTTTGGTCTTTGGAAAGATCAGCACTTAACCTAAGGCCCTGTTTTTTTTTCAGATATTTTCTTCAATCACTCTGATGCGAGGATTTAGTCCCTCGGCGGTGTTCTGAAAGGCTGTGCCCACCCTAAGTGAAGGCGGGCCTGCAAATGTGTGCCAGTGCTTGCGTATAGGCCTATGAGACCAGGCCAAGCAGAGCCTGTTGCAACCCCTATGTGGGCATGGATCTTCGACGAGGCCTTGTTACGAGTTAGCTCCTTGGCATGCCCCTGTGGGGCCTCTTCAGCAAGCATGAGCCTGCCCTAAGTGAAGGCTGGCCCCTGAATTTCAATATGACCTGAGTTCGTCAATCTAGGCAAAGTTTGGTGGACTCCAGTTTCAATATGACCTGAGTTCGTCAATCTAGGCAAAGTTTGGTGGACTCCAGACAGTTGCGATGTGCCAGTTGGTTACATCCTCCGTTCTCGTGAGAAACAGAAATAATTCGTGAGCCTTCTAGGCTCTTCCAGCAGCGCAGGCGAAGCAAGGAGAACCTGACGTTTACACCTGGTGTGGTTGGGCAGCCCTAACTAATTCGGTCCCAGGCCACTGTCTGAGTGGGCCTCAGTGCAGACACTTTGACCCAAACGGAAGCTACTGGAAACACACGAGGCCCAGCCAGACAGCAAACTGGGCGAGCAGTTTCCATAAAGGAAAGAACTCGCCACTGGTGGGCTCATTCAGGCACTAGGCAGTGCATGTGACAGCGCTGCTGGAGCGTGAGCTAGTGAGCTGTGTGCTGTGCGCTAGCGCTAGGTGCCAGGCAGTGCGCGCTGGCACTGGAAGAATGCAGGGCGCTGCTGAGGGCAGCGCCACAGCCAGCCCTACATAGCCAGGGCTTGGCTTGGGTAGCCAGTGTAGGTAGTGGCGGTCTTCGTGTATGAGGAGGAAGACGTGGGTAGAGAAGACGAGGGGGAGAGAGAGAGAGATGAGAATGATGATGTGAGGGTCTTGGCGATGGTCTACAGGGACGGCATCTTCATGTACTTCGGTTGTTGCTGCTGACGTCAACAGGTTGCATTGTCAACAGTAGCTGTGTGATCATAGTCTGGGCGCTGAGCGCCAAGTAGGAGGAAGGGCTCTGGGCGCTGAGCGCCAAGTAGGAGGAAGGGCTCTGGGCGCTGAGCGCCAAGTAGGAGGAAGGGCTCTGGGCGCTGAGCGCCAAGTAGGAGGAAGGGCTCTGGATACATTCGGATCCGTTGGTGGAACATCAGTGCATTTCTTCTTTCTGGACAGCATTGGACTTTCTGGCTTTCAATGTGATTTTGCATTCTGGATTTCTGTCATTTTGCAATCACTCGTTTTCTTTGCAGGATGCCCATATGCTTCTCATCATATCATGGGCATTCAACATGCAGGGAATCAGCCTCCGAGTCCCGTCACACTACCTAGGAATTGACCATGTGATGGTGGTGGTTCAGTGCACTCTGCAGGAAACCTGACATAGATAAGGAGTTGTAAACTACCCATCCCCTATCATGGGGATTAACATACAAGGAGTCAGCGTCTGAATCTGTGAAACTACCCGGGAATTGCCCATGTGATGGTGATCCAGCGTGGTACGTAGGAAAGCTGATTTGGATGAGGCGCTGTAATCTGTGAACCACCCATCACCTCATGACTTCTGTGGGCTTAGATCTGCCTGCGGAAAGCTGGAGAAAGGGCACAGGTAGGAGCATGGCAACAGTTATGGATGCTGGTGTAATTTGGCAGCTTGTTCATGTAAATCAGATGCGGTTTGTTACCATTTAGGGACGCTCTACATCTCTTGTCTGCATTGGTGGGCATTGTCAGTCCCGTTGTTGTTAGTGTTTTAGTCAATGGGCTAGTGATTCAGTTGGTTCAAGATAGCGATGGGTAGATCTGATATTCATCCGGTGCTGTAAGGAAGTCAGTCTGGTGCTGTCCAACACACACGTGTGGAAAATTTGGGTAGTGTTGGGTTTTCTCTCCGTCCAGCAAGCCCGCACTCAACTGGACCAGGTTGTTTTGGTCCGGTTTTGTACAGAAAAGTGCACTTGTTGACTTGTGATCAGAAATTACTTTCTCAATTTCTTTGCACCGGTTGTCGTCCTTCGCAGGTAGCAGACTTTGGACTTATCAAACTCATTGGCCAGGATGATGGGCATGGACCTCTGACTACAAAGCTGGTGGGAACATTTGGCTACATGGCACCAGAGTAAGTGGGGTGCAGAGCTGTGTGCCTTCGTGGTGCTGAAAATCTGATCTTTGTACGTGTTTCTCTTTTCAGTTATGCTTACATTGGCGCTTTGGCCAGGAGGTTCATAGTATAGGGTGAGCAGTGTTGCACCAGCATTTGATAACACTGGCCAGAAAGGCATTATCTGGTAACTGTGGAGAAAGTTTGTAACCCTGCACTTTCATCAGTCGGGGACCACTGGGCATTGACGCATACATAGCATGAGCGCAATTGGTGTAATTTGGTGATAGATTAGCGTGATGAGCTGGAGTTGTTATCAGTAAATATTGTTCCTTATTAGTAAATATTAACTAGCCGGAGATCATTCGTCTTCTGCAGAAGGTCCCTGGTTCATCATGATGAAAATTGATTAAGGTGGTTGGTGCAGGTGTGTGCAGGGAACAACGAGTGAGGAAAGATGGAACGAAGAGAATGGGAGGGTAGCAGAGTAAAAGACAAAGGGGGGGTGGCAAAGTAAGGGAATACAGATGTCCTTGATGACAGAGAGGACATCCACACTAGGGATGAGGTTGTTATGCGCCTGATTGAAATGAGATACAGCATGGAATCCACATGTTCCCATACACATGTGCAACAACAAGAGATCTTGGAGAGAGCAATTCACACCACACTGGATGAGAGAATACACAGTGGAAGCACTTAAACCAAAAATAGAATTGAAATTACTCAATTCTCATTAATATCCCGCTCCCTCCAGCCAATCAATGCACTATTATTTCCACGTTATTAACATCCCCGAACCAACTAAGAAGAGTTTCAACAAGTGAGGGAGACTTCTTCTTCGTCCCAACCTCAAGCTCACAGCTATGGCGCAGGCCTGCGCCCAACCTATCAAGCCCATCAAGCGCCACCAACCCTCCTGAACACGACACACCGCTCAGCAGTCCAAACTCGATGCCCACTGTAGATGAAGTGTCTGCTCAACAGGGCAGGGTAGCTCCCAGGATGAAGAAGAAGAGCACCAGCGCTTGATGAAGAAGGAGATGGTTACCACTTCGACAAACACTTGCAAGAAGGGTTTCGATGGTGACCTTGCCTATCCCCAACAGCACAGGTAAGAGGAGGCGCCTCACAGCGCTCAGGGCCTGGTGCCCAGTGCAGTCACAACACGAGACAGGAACCCCAGCTATGGAGGACAACCCTAGCAGCATGAAGATGATGCCGCAAGTGAAATAACGCAGCACCCAAACAGCATGCGACCTCCAGCGGCACTTCGTGGAAAAAAAATGACGAGACAGCGCCCGTTTTTCCTTGCCCTCGACAATTTTGTAGACTGCTGTTTTCCTTGACTCTACAGCCTACAGCCTAGGATCGACAGCCAATAGCCGAGGGGCGAATCTACACCTAAAATTGGCAAAAGGGGAGGACAGAATCGACCTACAACTCGGGCAGAAAGGACAAAACAGACAGACCTACTGGTATTACAGCTAGCCTACAAAGACTACTCCAAACAGACCTAGGGATCAAGCCAAATTGGGCTCTCACACAAAAAAACACAGCAAACGAAACAGGTCACGTGATCGAATCCCGGAGAGCTCAAACCAGGCAACATCAAACGAAGTTAGTGTACAGCTCGCATGCCGCTGCAATTCATTGCATTCCTACCCTCCCGGGGAGCGAGGACCCCGAGCTAGGAGGTGTCCACGAGGAGAACGTCTGAGGGGTTTCCCTTTCTGTTTAGCCTCATAGGGGCGCACGACTGAATTTGCGGGCTTGAGAAGGTCCTTCCTTGTGAACCATTGGTCCTCTGTGTGAGGTTGGAAAAGGAACTTCACAAGGTATTCACAGTTGGGGCCTGTGCCCCAGTGATCCTCGATGCTCTCAACTTCATATCCCATTCCAGGGATAGGAGGTCCAAACTGCGGTGGCGTGTCAGGGAATGCATCAGAAAGAGTGAAAGGCAGCAGTTTTGAGGCATGGAAGACCGGATAGGTCCTGATATGAGGGGGTACAGCAAGCACGTAGGAAGGCCCAAATGGATCTGCCCCCAAAGTATAAAGTACCTGCCATGGGCCCATAGTAAACAGGCAACAACTTTCTTGAGATATCTTGTTCATCAATTAGCTCAGATCTTTTCACCCAGACCCAGCGACCTGGCCGTGCCTTGAACATATTAGACCTAGCTTTTTCTAGGTCTTTCTCATAACTCTCGGTGAACTCTGCAGTGCCAGGAGCTAGTTTAGGCTTGGACTTACCAATGAGATCATGCAGAGGCTGTCTGGGTTCGTTGACAAAGTGCAGCCTATAGGGTGTAAAGCCTATCGTGTTGTGAGCAGATGCATTATACATCAGTTGTGCCCTGGACAGATGTTTGTCCCAGCTCTGCTGGTCAGACATAATCACAAGAGGCAGCAGCTGAAACATGACCTGATTCATCACTTCAGCATGTCCGTTGGCTTCAGGATGTCTCCTAGAGGTTATGTCCAGTTTGGAATGCAGGTAGTCTTGACTGTCGGTCATCGATGCAGAAGCTGGGTCTTTGTCACTGACAATGGAGGATGGGCGCCCATGGACATTCACCCACCTCTCACAAAAAAGCTTTCTGACCAGAGGTCCTCTGACCTCAGCAGGTAAGGGGATAAACTCAACATACTTAGAGAATCTATCGATATAGACCATTACTTGTCTCATCCCACGTGGCATGGTCTTGCCCAAATCTATGAAGTCAATGGACACAAACTCCCCTGGACCATCAGGGATAGGTAAGGGTTTGAGTAACCCCATAGGAGGCCACCTGTGGCAAGTCTCCAAGTAATGCAGGATATCGACCTTCATCTCAGACCAATAGAAGCATTGGGTCAGGGCAGCATACGTTTTTAAGAACCCAAAGTGACCGCGAGCATCATGTCTCTATGAAATCAGATGAGTAATGATCTTGCAATCATTAGGGAATACACAAACGCTCTTGCCCCGCGCTGATTATGTACAGCAAGCCTGAAGTCGAGGCATAGCCTGGCTCAGAATTGGGGTCGGTCTGTAGATTCCTAAGGATGGGGCCAGAGACTGGGTCATGAGACAACGCATCAGTGATGGCCTGTTTGGTGGAATCAGCATAGGAGTAAGTATCAACAATGGCAGCAAATGAATCAGGTATACGTGACAATGCGTCAGCAACTCTGTTATAGCATCCCTTCTTATGCTTCAGTTCAAAGTCAAATTTGTTTATAAACTGAATATACCTCACCAGTTTATCATTCAACTCACCTTGGGTCTTCATCTACTGTAGAGTGGAGTGATCAGAATAGATCTTGACGTGTCTCCCAAGTTAGAAATGTTTCCATTGTTTGAGGGCACAAACGAGGGCATACAGTTCCTTTTCATAAGTAGATTCCTGATTTCTTTGCACCTTTATCTTCTTACTCATGAACTCTACGAGCTTCAGACCAGTCCCATCATCTTGTTGGACTGCACCAACGCCATATTGACTTGCATCTGTGGTCAGCACAAATGGCAAGGTAGGGTCAGACAGTTTCAGCACAGATGCTTGGGTGAGTGCTTTCTCCAATCTGGAGAAAGCTAACTGACAAGTGGTTGTCCACCTAAAGGGAACATCCTTAGCTAGCAGATTTGTTAGGGGTGTAGCCATAGAGGAAAAGTTTCTGATAAACTTCCTATAGTAAAAAGCTTACCTCACAGTCTGTGGTTGTGGCCATTCCTTGATAACTGCCATTTTAGAGGCATCAAGGGGCATACCATCTGCAGAAATCACATGACCTAAGTATAAAACAGAGGAAACACCAAATGCTGATTTCTCTTTGTTCAATTTATACTTATGTTCTCTCAGGACCTGCAAAACGTTTTTGAGATGGTTTGCATGTTCCTTGGTATCTTTGTTGAACACCAGAATGTCATCCAAGTACACAACAACAAAGCGGTCAAGGAAGGGTCTGAAAATCCTATTCTTTTTGGTTTGGAATATCCCTGGTGCATTGCACAGACCAAAAGGCATGACCAGGAACTCGTACGAGTCATACCGGGTCTTAAAGTTAGTTTTGTGTACATCCTCTTCAGCCATTTCGATATGATGATACCCGAATTTGAAATCAATTTTGCTGAAGACTTTGCAACCTTGCACCATATCCAACAAGTTATCGATCATAGCCAAGGACTCAGAGCTCTTCCTGGTGATCTTGTTCAGGCCTTTATAGTCAATGCACATCCTGAGGTCACCATTTCCTTTTGGAACAAAGAGAACTGGTGCCCATACTCAGATGAGCAAGGCCTGATCCATCCTTTCTTTGTCAAGGAATTGTTTCCTCAACTCATTCACTCTAGCAGGTGACATTCTGTAGACTCTTCCCTTGGGAGGGGTAGAGTTTGGCAAAATCTGAATGTGGTGCTTGGTCTGCCTATGGACAAGTCAAGTAGGCTCCTGAGCCAAATCAGAAAAGTCATTAACCACTTGTTGAATGGATAGGGCAATCAGAGAAGAGGATGAGAACGAATTTGTTTGAGTGACATAAGCCACAAACAGATTCCCATGGTCAGTCTCCTTAGACAAGTTGTAAGACTCTCTAGCTTTCAGACAATAACAACTTGTCTCAGGATGGTGATCAGTAGTCAAGACACATTGTCTTAGCTCCCCTTGTGGGTTCCTCAGTTTGATACTAGGCAGAGCCCAATTAATGGACAGATTAGTGGCCCTCAACCACTTCATAGGACCAGATCAAAAGGAAGATGTGGGAAAACATAGAAGTTCAAGGGCTGTATGATTTCCCCTTCATCATCAAAGGTGACCGACACAACCTTGATGACTTGCTTGACCGAGACAGACTGGGAATTACCCACCTGAATCTCCAGAGTGTGCTCAAGATCAGTAACCTTGAGACCCAAGTGGAGTTTTTGACCTCCATTCTGAGAGATGAAGTTTTTGGTTGCTTCACAGTCAAGCAGGCCTTTCATCCTGGTTCTGTTGATTTGAGGCTTGAGTATGATCAATTTTGATCTCTTCTTTCTCC